CCTCCTAACGCACCCCTCATCGCCACACTCGCCCCCGTCTCCGCCGCAATAGAACGCTCCACCACCGCGCTCCAAGCGAACGCCCAAGCGGCTTACGCCCACGTATCATCCTCCGTCCTCCCTAAGATCGCCGAACACCTCAACACCCTCACAGGATATAGTGTCGTACAGGAGTGCAAGACACGGGTGGTAGAAAAGGACAGACAGCTCAACCTAGCCAGGGATCGATCCGACGCTTCCAAACGGGCCTACGAGACCACCATAGAGGAGAGACGAAAGTGTCAGAGGGAGCTCAACTCATTGTTGCAAAGAAAGGACACTTGGCTGGATAGCGACATCACGAGGTTCACCGAGCTATACAGGAAGGATCTCTCCTTCGAGCAGGCCGAGAACAGTGCAAAGTTGGAGCACAAGCATGCGGCCGAGGACTTTGACAAGTCCCATCGCGAATACCTCAAGTAGGTCTTGCAACTGCAGTTTTCGAGTTTGCTGGATTTTGTAAATCTCCGCATACTTATAGGGTCTTCGCATTAGTGAGATCCGGGAGCGCTACATTGAGGAGCAGCTTTATTCGGACAAGATTCGTCGCGCTAGCACGTGGTGGACATGGTGAGTAGTGGAGGATGGGTTCGATGCCTTTCGCAGTTCTTTTTTCTCACGCATGCCATTTCTGCTTTCATAGGGGTTTGATTTCGCTCCACTTCCTTCTCTTCCTTTCCGTGCAACTCTTTGTTGAACCTCGTAAACGCCGCATCCTGAAGGAAGAGCTCGGTCAACTTATCATCAACACATCCCGCCAACCACCATCTCTACCTTCCAGTTCCCCTTCTGTATCGCAATCAGCCGTCGCATGGGACATCTCAGATCCCGCCACCCAGCGATTCGCCGAGCAGCTCGTCGCGCCCCTCGCAGTCAGGATCGACGCATTGCAAGCACAGCAGCAGCAACAACAACGAGGGGACATGATGTCAGCTTTCGCACCGGACGGGGAAAGAGAAGCGTTCACGGCTCGTCCTCCTCCGTCCCCGCAGAGTGCAACGGGCCTGTACCCGAAGGACCGGCTGTTCTACAAGGGCGTCGTGTGCGGGGCCATCCTTGGTGTTGCGAGCTCGTTGCTCGTCTCTTTTGGAAGTTAGACACCGTTTTGAGGTCTTCCTACCCTTCGTAGATTTTCGCTGTAGAAAATACCTTTGCTTTTTCTTTAGAACCCCATAGGATACCCCGTCTCATTTATTCTGCAGTGTCTTGCCCCATGGCTGTACCACTATGCGAAGTTTGGTTACACGCTTGTAAATCCGCGAAGCCGTCGGGGGTAAAACTGACAGCAACACGGCAAAAATCAAACCTGGACAGGATTAAAAATGATACATGCTTCTAGCACTGCCTGGTTTCGATCCAGGGACTTCAGGGTTATGAGCCCTGCACGCTTCCACTGCGTCACAGTGCTTGCATAGAGTAAAGCTACATTTCAAGACCATATCCATGAGTATCGATTGTTAGCTCCTCACTAAGCCACACTTACAGTAGTCTTCGGCCCTCGTCGATGAGTTGCAGCAGTCCATACGCCAAGTTATTACTAATGACTTCCGCATTGACTCCCCCAAAATACGCACACAGCATATACGGAACGCAATCAACATCCGATTGCTATCTAGCGAGCTTCTTACCGTCCCTGCATCTTCTCGCGTACCGAATCTGGAGACGAGATAGGATGCAGAATAAAGTGTGGAATCACGCCGGTCGCTCCCGTCCGCTCGTTTCTCGACATCGTCCATCCATCCTCGTATTCTTGGCTACAGTGCGTCGACCGGGTCAGTACATGATGCGAAATTAAAGGAATCGAGGGAACTCAAACTCAATGGACATACAGTATCTGGACATTGTCTCCGCTCGCCACGGCCAGTTCATCGTCGCTTCTTGGCGCGTGGGGGTACAGAACTGAGTGAGTAGGGACTACGGGCGCGTCGTCCTGCACCTGCACGTGCGAGGTACAGATATGGTCCTGCGCAGCAGCCGAGTAAACTGGAGGTGCACCGGTCGGAAGATTGATCCGCAGGGACCGATTGCGAGAAGGTAACGCTACGGGTTGGACCGATATGGAATGCGGTCCTTCGGGGGAGACGTTGGGGTCCTCGTCAGCCGTTCGACCAGGTGTCTTTGGCGAGGCAGAATGATAAGCGTGTTGTCGCCTTCTTCGGAAGAAAATCAGGGAAGCAATAGAGGCGAGGAGGGCGAGCACGCCGAGCGCAATGCCAATGATAGCCCCAGTCGATATGGTCTTGAAGGATGCCGAGGAGGGAGAGGAAGAGGGAGAAGGGGATGGTGCGAGAGGCACAAAGGTCGGCGAGGGATCCACGTATGTGCTATCAATGTATGTGTACGCGATCTGACGCAGTCCTATCGCATCGTGGCTAGGACCTGTGTAAATGCCTGACGGAGGCCCAGGGAATACAAAGCAAGGTCCGTTGGCCTGCTTTGTGAGCCAGCATGCGAAGCCCTGAATCTACTATATTAGCGCACGGCCCGCCGCCTCATCACTGCGCTTCAAACGTACCCCGCAGCCGGCTGGTGAGAAGTTCAGGCAGGCGCTCGCCGCCGTGAAAGTGTTGGATGCTTGACACATTGCCTGCAAGAAAATTGTCAGCACAACTTCACAGTTTGACGGAAGTGAAGGTCTGCTATGGTAGCCAACCTGATTCGTCGTCGTATTGAATGGGGCTTTGACGAAATCATAGCTGCAGAGGGAGTTGTTTTGCGGGAGGGGGGTGCCCGGCGCCATGAAAACGCCCAGTCCTTGCTGGGGGCCCTTGAAGCCTGGCTGCGCAGGGAAAGAGATTCCGGAGGAGTTTGTCACTGACATAGACATGACCGATGAGTTCGTTGCAATGGCGTTCACTCGCTTGTCCAAATGCGGCTCGGAGTTGGGAGTTTGTATTCTGTGAACGGTAAGCTGAAGGAGAAAGAATGGCTGAGCTGCGAGCCTGCGAGGGATACCGTGCGGGTAACGCGCGAGTCTGCTTGTGAGCAGGTGAGCTTGCTTGCGCAAGATGCTTTTCCGCTCTTCCAGCTTTCTGGTCAAGCACTCGTTTACCGTGGTATGTGTCTCTCTTTGTCTCCTCTAAGCGATCCCAACCAGCGCCTTCATCGAATGACGAGATATCGATACAGTAGTAGAGCATTTAAATATTAGGAAAACTGGATCCATAGACACGAGCTAACTCCGCTTCCTCTCCCGGCGGTTTTATCCGGCAGTTTTGGCCCTCAACACGCTGACTCCTTCATGCGTCCTATGGTCTTCTTGGCCGTTCCTGACCAAAAGTGTCCGCAAAGCTCCACCTTGAACAAAAATATTTCCATTCAAAAATTCCTCATCACCTAGACTTCTAGGCTCAACTTTGATGGCGGCCGGACCTTCATGACTGACCAATGGCGCTGCGGTTTCGGACACACATCCGTCAAAAATCGTGCTTAAGTTGCCCTAGCGGAACGTATCTGCCGACTAAGGCACCAGGCAACCGAGCTCTCGTTAAGGGCGGAGCTGTTAAAAGTCTATAGAGCTCTTTTATCATGTAACATTGTGAGACTCCTCATACGTGAACCAGTACTGTACGAAAGATCGGGACAGTACCAAAGTTGCTTGTGCTGGGCAGTTCTCCCAAACATTTTTCACGGTTCGAGGGGCAGGCCAAAGTACCGGTTTGCTACGCTGCCCCTCATATGATTGCGACAAGCCGCAGATAGAGCGAGAAAGAAAAGAAGAACGAGTTGTTCCAACCAGACGTGGGTTGTCGATCGAAGGTGACGGACGGACGAGGATGGAGCAGATCCTTGACAGCGCGTGGGAAAAAGGTCGATCCGATACCTTGCCGCTCCCTCCACGCTTCCAGCTTCCCAGGTGGCTTCTCTCCATATAGCTTCTCCCACCCCTCGCTGATCATCGGTCTTATACTCTCAACAACCAACCCCTCCTTCTCGCAGTCAGCTTTAACTACTGTCCACTGCCCGCAACCATCAGTCACCAACACGCACATCAACTACGGCCGATGATGGAGGCCGTTTCCCAGCGCAATCCGTTTAACCCGCAACGCAGATCATGCGAGTATGGACAGTACAAGCTACCTCTCCTTCACGTTCCCACTCGCCCGCCTCGTGTGTCTATCTTCGACTCTGTCTGGTTCGGCGAGGCCCGACCTGACAACCCACCATCTTCGAATCGATACTCCAACCTTGACATCGGCAGCTGGTTTGACCAGTTTTTTCTCGACGCTGCAGACTACCCGATCCTCAGCCCCAAACGACAATACCCCACCACCCCCGAAGGTCTAATCGTGGCGTATTCTGCACACGATGAGCCCGGGAGCGACCTTGATGACCTCGGATTCCCTCGAGGATCGCTCCGAAGTCTCTCTCGCGATGCACTTCAATCGTACCATCCGCACGTCGGAGTCCTCTTTCCCCAACATGGCTCTGTCTTTCGAAGCTTGGGAAGACACTCTATCATCGTCGCTGCACCACGAGGCATGTCCCGAAGCGCGGGAAGACAGCCATCCACGTCCGCTACACCGACGATGATCGATCCGCAGCATAGAAGAAAGCCTGATTGGGCAGGAACTGCGACATTGGACGGAGACATCGGCTCTCGTTTCCATTCGCGAAAGCTGGAAAAGTACGAGAAGGTAATTGGGCATCATCAGGAAGGTGGACAGAGAAAGTTTCTGTGATGCCGACGAGGCGATTCTGGAACCCGACATGCTGCTCCCTTATCCATGGGGGATCCCACCTGACGAGTTAAGACGCGCATTGAAGTAATTCCATTGCGTATGCAGAATTTACTGCAGAGGAAAATAGAAGACCAGGACAAATTTAGACAGCAACCAAACGGCACTTTTCTCCGGCTTTCCGCCCGACTTTCCTCGTGCAAAAAAGAATAAAACACTTTTCAGCAACTCGAGAACAGAGAATCACAAGAGTACCTATTCCAGATGCTGTACGGCGACGCTCGATCCTACCAGGACTCGAACCTGGAATCTCACGCTGGCCGAAAATTCGTAGGCGTGCGCCTTGGCCATTGGGCCATAGGACCTGGTGCGACTTTGTCGCTATGCTGATGATCACCGGCGGGGCATTGTTGCGGGATTTTGCGAGGGATGGACCATGATGGACCCCCAGTAAGAGGACCGCGGCCCCTTTAGGGGACTCAGTAACTTACCTGTGTGATCGTATCTCATCCCTTGAGTTATGGAAGACAGTTCCCCAGTCCTTCCCCGTCCGCATTCAGCACTCTGGTGAGACAATAATCGCTTCAGAACACATCGGTAGGATCCCAGCAGAATCGTCTCTGAGTCGCCTGCGTGCCCATCCGATCCAGTTCCTCAAGATCCGTGTCCAGCAACCGCACTCCGTTCGCTTGCAGGTTCTCCAGCAACCTGGCTTCGCTGCTCGTCTTCGGTATCACGCTGACGCCACGTTGTAGAGACCACGCTAGAAGGACTTGAGCAGCCGTCGCATTCCTGGCGTGACGTATGGAAGCAAGCACCGGGGCGATAGGGTCTTCTGGGGAAAGAAGGCAGCCTTCGCCGTACGATGAGTAGGCTTGCTGCTGAATTCCATGAAGGCGACAAAAGTCGACGAGTGGTTGCTGGACTTCATGAATCGCCGGATGGTACTCGAACTACACAACCAAATAAGCGACGGGGTCCGTCAGGAGCTCGGCCGCTAGCAAAGGCGCTGCTGCCCTTTCGGTCCGCAAACTCACTTGATTGAGGTGAGGGACCTCCTTTGCTCCGCCGTGTGCCGGATCCAGCAGAATCTGCAGATGCAGCGGCGTGAAGTTGCTTACTCCGATAGCGCGGACGGTTCCATCTGCGTAGAGCTGTTCCAAAGCCTTCCATGACTCATGACGATTGGTTGCGTTACGCGGGTCCGTGACGAGCATCTTCGAGGATCCTGGCCAATGGATGAGAAGCAAATCCAGATCTGAGAATGACGAAAAATTCAGAGCTGGAAGATGAGTGTCAACAGCTGGAACCATTGCCTTTACATTCCACGGCGGGACCGAGGTTCTCCAAGCACCTTCGTGCAGCGGCTAGGCACTTTTCGAACCCTTGGTCCTTGGGTGCTGTAGCAGTGATGTGATGCGGATTGTAATGTCAGTACCGCTTCCTGATTCCTCAGACTGAAAACACGTGTTGCCTCCACGTTGACAAACCAATCTTCGAAGTCACGAACACGTCCTTGCGGAGAATCACGCCCTCTTCGATCAATTCGGCGATCGCCGCTCCAACTTCCTTTTCGTTCTGAGGTTCCGTAATTATTAACCCCGATATGCGCGGTGCTCATCGAAAAGCGCAGAAAGCCGTTCAGGGTGTCATTGAAGAGGCCGCAGTACCTTGTAGACGTCTGCGGTGTCGATCAAACGATAACCTGCCCGCAAGGCGGCTTTCACAGTTGCCTTGCATACCTCCCCTTGCATGCGATATGTTCCAAGGCCAAGCAGTGGCATGGTAACCCCATTGCGGAGGACTACTAGTACCGGTTGCATGTTTACGTTCGGAAGAGAGGTGTTGACCCTTGCTTGCCTTCCGCGCAGTTCCCCGTGTCCGGAGGTCTGGTTCGTGTTCGCCCCCATCACCTCCGCGGCCACCCGTTCCATCTCTCGACCCCCAACAAGTTCGAAGTTCGAGACGGAACCATAAAGTGGGAGGTACAATGAAAATGTCTCGTGCCACCTCATCGTCGGCTGCTACTACACTGGAGAAAACAATGGACGAGAAAACCGTGCTTCTTCCAACGGACCGCCCCGTCGCGACTTTCCGCAAACACCTGTCCACAAAGCTCGCCCTCATTGCAATTGCGTTCTTCGCTCTCGTCGCCACCGTCACTCAGCTTCGTCCTCCTCACGGACCGCATCGTCCTCCCCGCCACGGTCATCCCCATCACGGTCCGCACCACGGACATTCGAAAGGCATCCCGACTTCATGCGCGCTTACACCGCCCTTCTCGGATGGGCCTCTTTACCCCGCGAATCGTGCCCGCCTTCGCTCTCTCCTACCCAAGGCTTTTTTGGAAGCGAACGCGACGATCGCTCTGCCCACTGGCTCAAGGGCGCATCGTGACGACAGCGACATGGAGGTCGCTGCTTGGCGAACCTCTGCCAACGTCCTCTACGTCCTCGGCGAGCTGTACATATCGGACGCCTTGGTCATCCTCGAACCGACGAACGGCGGGCTGAACGCAACTCTTTTTTTGAAGAGACAGGATCAAAGGGAGACGGTGTTCGAAGGAGGCGTTGCTGGCGCAAAATATCTAAAAAGGACTTTTGGACTGGAAAGCGTGAGATTCGTCGAGGAGCTAGAGGGATTTCTCGAAGGACGCGCCGCATGGACATTCTCCAAGGAGGAGCTCGCTCGTGCCATCGGATCGGACCAGACAGTAGAGGTGGTCGAGAGCGAGGACGTTCGGCAGGCTTTCCATGAATCGCGCTTCGTAAAGAGTCAAGGCGAGCTCGATAAGCTGGCGTACGCTTCTCAGGTCGCAGCGTGGGCGCATGGGATTGTGGAGCGGGAAATTGAAACTCAGAAGGACGATGTCAATGGTATGGATCAAGATTTTCGTTTGCGAACCTTGTTTTTTGCTGTGGTCACCGACTCGGCGTCTCAACCACCACTTTTCCACAGCCATCACTCTTGCTTCTCTCTTCGCCCACGTGTCCTCGATCTGCGGGTCGCGCCTGCAGGCCTACCCTGCGATTGTAGGCGCTGGCACCCATGCATCGGTTCTGCACTACCGAACTGGGGAGTCTCCTCTTGACTACCACCGGATCCCATCGCACCCCCCTACTGCTGTCCTCGTTGACGCCGCGGGAGAGTACGATGGTTATGCGAGCGACCTCACGCGAACATACGCCCGTCGTGGGAGGCGCTCGGATGATATGAAGTCCGTCCATCGGGTCGTAGAGAAGGCTCAAAGGGCAACGGTCGAGGCGTACGGAGAAGGAGTGGACGTTAGGACTCTGGAGAAGCTTTCGGCCACGCTGCTACTTGAGGGACTGATAGACCTAGGGCTTTTCGTCAAAGGTGTAGGAGCGGAGGAGTTGTTCGAGGCTGGGGCTCTTTACATCTTTATGCCGCACGGGCTCGGTCACCCTGTCGGTAAGTGACAAGATTCGAGTTTTTGTCACATTGATAAGGATAATGATCAATTTCCCTGAAAGGGCTGGATGTCCACGATCCCACGCCGGCAAAGTACATCATCCCTCCTTCCCTGTCCATCTCTTCGATCCCCTCGGTCTTCAACGCGCGCCTCCCGTCTCACTTCTCGACCTTCTCCTCCTCACCTCTGGCTCCATCCACCAACTACACCGTCCCCCGCGGTCACGTCATGACCATCGAACCAGGAGTTTACTTCATTCCCGCCCTGTGGGACATGCTGAGGAGCGAGCAACCGGACGGGATCGCGAGGTTCGTCGACTGGGACGTCGCAGAACGTTTTATCCCCGTGGGAGGAGTCCGCATCGAGGACGTCGTCATGGTTGGGTTGGATGGCAAGGTTAGGGTGGTGACGCAGGAGTAACAGTTGCTATTGTGTTAGCGAGCAAATAGGTTGAGATGATCTGGACGTGCCTCCCGCCCGTCTACCGTAGTATGGTGAAGGATATGTGCTTGTTATGCGGGCATCGATCTTGTGTATGCAAACACTCTTCCTACTGAGGGTTCATACACCGACAGGCCTGTCGCAAACACACACCGGAGGCCTCCAGGCTCCAGGTGCAGAAGCTTCAAGACAATCCCGATTTACCATTGTGAGGGAGTGATTGCGATTATAATTAGAATCCTATTCATTTTTCGAAGTTTATATGGCATGCAACTACAGCGCTTCAGGGGGTAATTTTGCCCAAAATAGCAATCAAGTAAGCAGTAAACACCTGCAGGGGTAAGAGGCATTTTCAAGGGGTAGGTGCCCCCTTAAAAGTAGCATCCAACCTAGTGTCTTCAAGTACAAGTGCAGCTATACAGTAATAGTATTGCTTTGGTGTCTTGGCGTCTTCAGGAGTAATTGGCATCTTTGAGGGGTAAGCTGTGCCACAAATTCAGCCTGTTGGCGTCTTCAGGGGTTATTGGCGTCTTCAGAGGTAAGCTCTGCCACAAATTCAATGTCTTGGCGTCTTCACGGGTAATCGGCGTCTTCAAGGGTTATTGGCGTCTTCAAGGGTAAGCTCTGCTACACATCCAGCGACATGGCGTCTTTTGTTGGCGGGGGTAGGTCATCCTACCCGTTGTCTCACCTGCGCCTGTGTCCGGCGTACCCGGACACACATAGCAGG